ATAGCAGAGCCTGAAAAAGCCAACTGTGCCTGAAAGTAAAGAAATTCACAAAGGAAGGACAAAGACTGTCAAAGGGGCACAGGAACCTGCTGGAGGGGCTCTCTGTGGGTAAATGTGAGCCAATAAAAATATTGATAATTAGTGATATAACCTACTGAAAAAATAAGAGTCTACAAAATCATACTATATGAATAAGTAATGGGACAAGTGACAGTTTTTTCTTATAGTAGAGTTCATGTTAATAAAGCTAGAAGAAATAATGAAATTACCAGATAATTATTTGGCAATTACCAACATAATAGTTGTGCTAGGCAAGAATCATCAATGGAGTGGGGCAGGTGGCACACACCTGTAATCACAGACCTCTGGGAGACTGAGGCAAGAGGGTCACAAGTTTGAGTGCAGCCTGGGCAACTTAGTGAGAACTCTCTCAATAATACATTTTAAAAAGGGCTGAGGATATAGCTCAGTGCAAAGGACCTCAGTTCAACCCTCAGTATTACCATTAAAAAATCAATGGATGTTAAAACTAGTGGGAGGAATTACATAGAGAAACAGGCTATTTTTGTAGCCTTAATCTGTTTCTTTATAAGATTCTAATTAATTACAAAGGGAAAAATAATGACTTTGTAAAGAAACCTGACAAACACCCTCTTCATCAAGTGATTAAATATTACCACGAGCAAAGAGACAAGTCAACATCATATGCTACTTTTCTTGGTTACTTTTCTCTCCTCACTGAGACAAAATACCCAACGCCCAAAATGAAGGAAGGAAAGATTTATTTAGCTTACAGTTTGTGGAGGTTTCAGTCCATACTTAGCTGGCTTCAAGGAAGAGTGGCACATGGCAGAGGGCAACAGTTTATGGGGGCAGAAAACAGCAAAGCAACAAGAGAAAAAGGGAGGAGTGGCGGAGAACGCAAGCTTCTGTTCCTCCCTTATACTGTAAGCAGACTACCCCCACCCAGGGGGCGTGTAGCACTCACATAATCTCCATGCCCTCCTCTTGCACAGGCTCAAGATGAATACAAAGTAAGCACCCTGGCTCCCTGCTGAGTCACATAGTTAACCTTCTAAACTTCTCAAATTGACACAATGAACAACATCCCAGAAGGGTAAGGGCCTGTCCTTTTCACCCCAAGATGCAGAACTGCTGAGTCACTTAGTCAAACCTCTATACTCCCCAAGTTGACACGATGTATCAACCATAACACTACTGATGGGATGGATACACTGGACAAAACATACCTTCACTTCTGTGATGTTTCCACGCAGACTTCCTAACCTGAGGAATGCAGATTATGAAGAAATATCAGACAAACCCAAACTGAGAGTCATTCTACAAAATAACTGGCCTATACCCTTCAAAAATAAGGTACCAGGTATGGTAACACAAACCTGTAATCCCAGCATTCAGGAGGCTGAAGCAGAAGGATAAAAAGTTCAAGACCAGCCTGCGCTACATGTAAATTAAGTTCAAAGCCAGATTAGACCATAGAAGAAAATAAGAGAGATAGCTAAGAGACATTACAACTAATGTAACACATGATCCTAAGTCCGCTCCTGCATGAGAAAAGTTTGTTTCTTCTGCTGTTAAGGATCCTAGACAAAAGTGTTAGGCAATATTTTTGGATTTATATTACTCTTCTAATTTCTGTCATTGTGTTTGATATATGTAAGCCAATATTATTTTTAAGAAATGTCTACCACATATGCAATTTACTTTCAAGCACTTAAAAATTATCAGTAGTTGGATTGCTAGAGCAAGTGTGAAACAATGTTAACATCTGGGAATGTATGAAGCATAAATGGAATTTCTCTGAACTTTTTTTACAACTTTTTGGTCAGTAATTATTGCAAGTTAAAGTGTTTTTTAAGTCTAATGCTTTAAAAACAAAACCCGGATGGAAATTAATGGGCTTAAAATAACTGAGAAGTTTTAGAATTATATAAATATATGCTGTTGATTAAATTCACTGTTACCAAGACTATTATTCTCCGCTGCTTTTCAGAGAGAAGACTCAAGAAACTAAGAAAATGAAATCTCCCTTTGGATTTAAATCTGGATTTGCCTACAGATTTCTTCTGAGAGATTCTTTTGTTCCCTACTCCCACAACCTTTTTGGGTGGTTTTAAATGCTGCTTTTATGCAGGAAAAGTCTCACCTTGTTGTCCCACAAGTGAACTCTGCGTCCTTTTCCATACTCTCTGTCAAGGTGGAATACTTTCAGGAATTCCATCTCTAAAAGTTAATTTCTAACTCTGAAACAAGCATGCATGCATTTGTCACATGTCATAAGACTTGTAATGGCTTTTCTTATTGTCTCTCTTTTTCTGGAGTCTTGATATAGATGATCCCCTTTCTGTGGCAAATGAAATATTTACAAGGTAATTGTTAAGACTGTTTTAAAATTAGAAAAGGCTGGACTGAGTGTCCCTGTATTTTGAGATAGGTTCTTTACTGTTTTGGTGTTCTATTTTCTCATCTGTATAGTAAGTATAATGGATTCTGATCTTTTTAATCTGTTAATATTATAACTCTAAGACTTGTAATAAACAAAATTCATTGTAATCAAAGGTTATTTTTATTCAAGCTGAGATCACCAGATGGTAGCCAAGCTTTACCCCAAACCTTGGATTTTGTATTCCACAGACAACAGAATAGCCTTTCATGTTAGTGGTGTGTTGCTTTCAGGTAGCTGCACGCAATCCAAAGGGTACTTCAGAAAGTAGATGCTGGTGCAAATCATGATCCTGGAGAACTAGGTATTCAGGCTGGAAGTATAGCTCAATAACAGAGCACTTACCCAGCTGTGTAAAGCCCTGGATTAAACCCCCAGGATGCCTCCCGACGAAAGAAGGAAGAACAAACCAGCAAGTTAATAGAAGAATTAAAACAAAAGTAAATTGAGGTGCAGACGTGGGAAAGATCAAGTTTCCCAGGTCCACACAGGTTGTCAGTGCCCGGCTCTGAGGCAGATTCCCTGTGTCGGTTGGTTGGCTTATGAAAAGAGCTGAGCCGTTGCCTTAATATTTGGTGCAAGAACATTAGACTACTTCTTCAGTTTGTGCAAAGGTAAATTTGACTTCCTTGAATGGCTTTCAGACAGTCTGCTCCTGAGCATCATTTCTTACCTGGATCTTGAAGATGTGGCCAGGCTTTCTCAAACTTTGTGTGGAGGGACAAAGGAATCAAACTCAGGACTTTGCACTTGCTAGGCAGGCGCTGGGCCACTGAGCTATATCACTGGCCCCTCTGATAAATATCTGTTTTCCAAAAAGTTTTCTGTTTTCCCAGGACCTTCTTCCCACCATATATAAAATAGGTGAAATCCAATGTAACCGCTTGGCCAATCATGTACCTCCAATTTATTCCCACCATATGTAAAGAAGGTGAAACTCAATGTAACTATCCAATCAGTTGAGAGCAGGCACTCTGCTCCCGTATATCCTGTTTGTTTGCAAACCTTATAAAAACCCTGCCGAGAATTTGAGGCCTGACTCTGGGAGTGATCCCGGTCAGGATGGCTGGCATCAATAAAGCTGTACACTTGCCTCCAAAAAAAACCAAAAGTAAACTCACCTTGAACTCATTTTCTTTAAATAAATTTACTTTAGAGAGATTCATCTAAATATTAAGGATATACAGAAGGTTCCTTGCTGGTATATTTTATAATTTTACAAAAGTAATGCATGCACATGGTCAAGAAAAATCATTTGAAGGAGTATACAGTGAGAAGTCTTCTTCTCACCCCAGAGCCTTTAATTTTTCGGTTCCTCTCTTCTCAGAAAGAAGTTCATAACCCATATCTTGGGTTACGAATCTGTAAATACAACCAATCTCCTATTGCTAGTATTGGGGAGGGGGTTGCATCAGTGCTAAAAACAGACAGACATTTTTAAGGCCATTCTTCCCTAAACAATGTAATAAAACAACTACTGAAATCACATTAGCATTGCATTCAGTCCAGTAAGTAATCTAGAGATGACTTGGAGTATACAGGAGGCCGTGTGTGGGTACTATGCAAATACGAGACCATTTTCTATTTTGGATTTGAGCATCCAGCCTTGGGTATCCACAGGGGATCATGGAACTAATCCTCTGTGGATCCAGAGGCACCACTATATGTTGTTTACTGACAAAAAGAAAAAGGCCAAGTTCAGAATAGTGTTTAATATATGCCACCACTTATCTTTTTTAAATGGATGTATGTGCATTTCTGTCCTTGTAAATTCATAGAATTTCTCTGGAAAGAAATACAAGGAAAGGGCCATGGTTTCTTGTAGAAGAATGGAAACACTAGAAGACAAGATGGAACAAGACTTACTAGTCATCACATGCACTCTGTATTTTTAAGTTTTATCCACATGCAACTGTTAGGCAAGTAATTAGAAATTAGCAGGCCTGAGGGACAAAGGGGAAGGGAGTCCAAAATAACGTCTTTTGCCAGTTAGTTAAGTGAAGAAACAAAGACTTCCATGTATAATATATTTGTAATCCTTTGTTAGGTCTCCAAGCTAAAGCAATCTCATAGAGCACAGTGACATTTTAAGGTTATTCATTGTACATATTCCTTCCACCAAGGCTTAGCCATCTATTTCCAAAACAAGGCATTCAGCGTGCCTGGCTGCTGTGTTCTACGGCCTGATGAAAGGAGAACATTCTTTAAAGATCCTCGCTCCTTGAGCTGAGATCTGATTGAGACTCTTATGTGATTAAGGACCCTAAGGAAACTCAGACCACCAGAAAGGAATAAGGAAGATATTTTTGAGATATAGGCACTGCAAAGTAACTCCTAAGAGAAATGTCCATAAATGTATACGTCATATAAATGAAACAATGACAATCATCATAGCTCCCTTAACCCCAGGAGTAACTTTGGTGTGCATAAAAATGTATCCAACTTTGCACTGGGGTGGATATCTTTGCAACACCACCTGGCTTCTAGATTCAAAGTGCAACTCTCTCTGTACCTTTTTTACATACATTAGACCTCAACTTCTGCTCAGCTGCCTATGTGTCTTGACTGAATTCTTTTATCAAGAGCACAGCAGAACTGAGGACCACAGGGGTGAGAGGTTGCTTCCTTGCTACTAAGACCTGGCTTCTCAGTGACACAACTACCAATTAAAAACTCCCCAAAATGTTATTTTGAATACTATCCATGTCAACACACAGTTTTAATGTTTTTTAGCAGATGGAAAGTTCCTAATTACTTACAATCACATGCATTCATTTTTTTGCCCAGAATAATATTGCTAAGAACAGGCTTGCAAATGAAGCTGATGTAGGTTAAAATTCAAGCCCACTAAGAGTACAAGTGAGCCAAGCCTGACGGTGCACGTCTGTAATCCCAACACTCTGGGAGGCTGAGGCAGGGGGATGGCAAGTTCAAGTCCCAACTAGGATTATGCAAAAGTCTATCTTGGGCCGGGGATATAGCTCAGCGGCACAAGCGCCTGCCTGGCAAGCACAAAGACCTGAGTTCAATTCCCCATACCAAAAAAAAAAAAAGTCTATCTCAAAATAAAACAAGGGCTGGGGATATAGGTAGCTCTGTTCAAAGACCCTGGATTCACTCCTGTGGAGGGAAAAAAAGTACAACTGTGGCAAATTACTTCCCTTCATCTGTAAATGGATGTAATAAAAGTCTACAGTGAATATTTAATGAGCAAATGATGCACAAGGCCTAGTATTATTATACCAGGCACATAGTAAGCACTCAGCGAAGTTCAGATTTCTTTCTCTCCTGGACTTTTGATAATTTGAAGACATTTATTACCTAACTAAAATAGAAACACGAAGGTGTATTATTGTCATTATTAGTTAGCATTGTTTGCTGTTTGTGGTAGACTTCTGTTTTTCCAGAAAAAAATAGATACTAAAAAAAAAAAGTGTTCAATTATACAGGAAGTAAGATCACATATCCTTTGAAAGTAAGACTATTGTTCAGGAGACTAAACCTAACAACCAGGAGACCAAGAACAGGAAAATGAGGAGAAACGGGTGAAAAAAGAAAGCATGGAAAGACTACATGGCCTTACTGATAATTTGGTACTACGCTACCCAGCATGACTAGTATAGGCTGAAAATAAGGAGGTTCTCCGCGTGATTAAATTAACGTATCACACATGCACTTATCTACTACAATGAACAAAAAAATGGCTGAGAAACACTGCTCTCTTGTCCGGTTGCTGTTCCTCGGGGACTGAACTGCGCTCCCCTCCCCGACCAAACTCACGTTACAGCTCCAAACTCTCCACGTGACTGTGTTTGGACACTGGGACTTTATGGAGGGTAATTAAGGTGAAATGAGGTCACGGGGGTGTGGTACTTATAAGAAGAGAAAGAGACACCAGAGAGCTCTCGCCTTTCTCCCGCAGAAAGCCAAGCGAGGACGCATCGGGAAGGTGGCCATTCACAGGGCAGAAGAGACCCCTACCGGAAACCAAACTTGCAACACCCTGAATGGGCAATTACCTTCCAGAATTGTGAGAAAATAAACTTCCGTTCTCGAGCCACCTGGTCCGTGGTATTTTATGGAGAAGAAATTTCTCTTTTTTTATTAGGACAACTGGAAAATGCGCTGTTGTTTATGTTGGTATATATGCCCTGGTTTTAGTCAGATTGTTTGTAAAGAAAAAATGCACAGACACAAAAAATTCAGAAAGATTTAATGGTTAGCAGCTAAACGAACTGCTGTGACAGTAATTGAATTGCATCTCCTTCATTTTACAAATTAGGAAACTGAGGCCAAAAGAACAGAAGTCAGCTTTTTCATAGCTGAGCCAGACCTGGGGTTGGTCCAGAAACCCAGAGCTCTCAGCACCTCATCCACAGCTTTCTACCCACAGACCCTTTCCATCCCTGCCGCCCCCCCCACCCCGTCCTGGCAAAGAGGAGAAGGGAGAAAGGGCACTCTCACCTCCTTGCCATCATCAGATCACCTAGGAGAGGCCAGGAATCCAGGGACATTATCCTTCCAGGACCAAAAGCAGGGCCTCTCAAAATAGTCCTTCTTCTCGCCTAAGAATAGTGGGTTGAACTGAGTATGGTGGTGCACACCTGTAATCCCACCGCTCTGGGAGGCTGCGACAGGAAGCTTGCAAACTTCAACTAAGGAAGTTGGACAATATAGCGAGACCCCGTCTCAAAAACTAAAAAGAAGCTGAGAACACAGTTCAGTGTGAAGGCCCTAGGTTCAACCCTGGGTACTATCAAAGAAAAAGTAAAAGGAGTGCACGCAGTGAATGAGTGACCGTCTATAGCTCTGTCTTAGTCACTGTCTCATCTTATAGGTGAGACACACTCCCCAACATCCACAACTGAAAGGAGAGGCTAACTTCCATTCAGTTTTAGTCCACAGTTGGCTGGCTCCAAGGCAAGAGGTCTTGCCAGGAAGAACTGTGAAGGAAAGCTGCTCCTGTCATGGTGACCAGGAATTAGAAAGCGAAGAAAGAAAGCAGGGCAGGAGATGCATCCTTCCAAGGCTAGACCCCTAGGGACCTGCCTCTTTCAAATATCGCCGCTCTAGCGCCCCCATGGGCCAATCGCCTGTCGAAAGCCTTGCCTCTGAGTGCCTGAGGTTCTTTAGGGACATCTGCATATAAACGATGACAAGCTCACACTCTTAAACAATAACTCTCCAGATAGGATATTCAGCATTTTAAAAATTT